ATGACCAGGAACGTTTAGGATATATGTACGAAAGAGAATGGTCTTATGAATCTAACTTCTTTAGATCACATTTTCCTAATTACATATTCTTTGGACTTATTGTTTAAGCGTATAACATTTATATGAGGCAACTCTAAATAATATTCTTTGCCCTTATATTAAACTAATTTGATTTAACATGTGAAATGTTCGTAATATCATCATATGATTAGGTTTAGGGCACATTTCCAACAAAAATGAATGCACAAAAGCATATGGCACAAAACTGAAACATGAACATGGAACACTATTAAATTCATATATAGGAACAACACCACAATGCAATAGATAAAAAATACACCATAATCTACACCAGCAAGAAAGTTTTGATTCCAGGTATACATGATGAAATAATTAAAAAATGCAAGACCAAATCTTCTCATAAAATCAATAAATAACAAATGCAAGACCAACATGAACATATGATTGCAAACATCAAAAGGACATCATAAATGTTTTGCATCTTTGCAGGAATACATCAGAAGTGATTGAATTTACCTTTTTCTTTTGATTAAGCTGCACCTTAGCAACAAAGCATCCAAAGGGTTTCTAAGCAGCAATCAAACAAGCGCAACCCAGACCCAGATCACAAAACAAAAAATTAAAAAATTAAAAAAAAAAAAAAAAGCAAAGATAACCCAAATCCCACTTAAATCCAAACACCTAGATGACCAAATCCCCTAAATATCACCAACTAATGATCAAAATCTAAAACCCAATACAATATTGTATAAAACCCACAACCCAAAACCTTTAAGAATTGAAAACCCACAAACCTGAAAAGCGCAACAAGTGAGGTTGAGAAGGTTGGCAACCCAAAGAAGGGCATAATAGAAAATCATAATGTATGATCTTCCATTGGAGAGCTTGATGACATTCTTCTTGGCGTGGAACGCCATAGTACACCACAAAAACGATTGCGAGAACCACCAAAAAGACATTGTACCAGATTCCATGGCACTCCATCGAGCTGTCGACGGAAAAGCTTTGATCTTAACTGTCAATTGTAGTTGGGAGGCTCGGGTTTGGCAAGTTAATCGAGTGTTCTTGAAGGTTCATCACTATTGTTGTGGGGACAGATTGGATTCAGGGACAAAACCTTGAAATGGACAACTCATATTCGAATTGGAGAGCTCACATTTTGAGATGAAACGAAAATCAAAATTTCAGAGTGAGATAGAGTTCATTAACTTGCAATTAGGTTTCTTTATAAGCACATAAGGCAAACAGTGGAGTTAGGAAGACTATTAGGGCCATACCTGCAAATAGGACCCATTCCTTCAA